TTTTTTCCTTTATCTGTTTTGTTTTACAAAGAACGTCCAATGTTCATTTTTGATATATGTATTTGACATTAATTGTTGCTCATAAATATCTACATGCGAAACGAAAGATGAATTACTGGTAATATCAGAAGCATGGGCAATAAGAATTGTCCGAACTGTACAGTTGCTCTGTCCACCAGGTACCAAGGTAGATTCAGCTGAAGAATATGACCAAGATACCTTCACTCCCCACAGAGTAAGACAATAATGATAGCTCTCTCAGCTGAGACTTGCAACTATGGGCGAATCAGCAATACTCTCCCCAAGCAGAGTTAGTCTACCATCAGCCCTAAAAAGGCTTGGTATCCCCAGAAGGTCTTAATATTCCATGGCGGAGTATAAGAATATTCCCCAGCAAGTATCAGAGTATCCCCGACAGTCTTAATATTCCTCAACGGAGTATAAGAATGTTCCCCGGTGATAACGAGAAAACATATCATATAATTACCATGCTTTTTACCGATTTTATATTTCATTAAGTCGTCTAACCCCCGATTATTCCGAGATTATTTGCCTTTTTACAGGTATAACATTTGTCGACTCAAACCGATGGAAAAGGACAACATGAAGAAGGCTAGACAATAAACAAAGAGAAAAAGAATTAAAAAAAATACAAAGTTTAGATTTTTGGAACAGTGACGGTCGTCACATCCTTGTGACAGGCGTAACACCCCCCAACATGAAGAAACGCTCGTCACACACTACTGACGAGCGTAATGCACTACTTCAGCGCGTTACGACCGTCACCCACCTGTGACGACCGTCACGCGCGTGAAGGTGGACTTTATACATGGATTGAGACGTGGGCATTAAGGGTAGACTCGTTCTCCCTTTTACTGTTGAGTCTCCTATTTTCCTGCCACCACTATTAGTGCTCCTATATTTTCTCCATTGAAGACTTCATCAAGAATTCTGAACTGCTGATTTTCCGATGCTATATATATGTGTACCAGTGCATAGTTCAGGGGTCGAAGAATTTTCCTCAGAACAAATATTATTATTCTTTTGCAATTATTTTCCATTTGCTTGTTTTGGAATATTTTTTTCACGTTCCTGTAATTTTCATTCCAAGTTTTAGTTTTTAGTTTTAAGTGTTAATTCTTCCTTCAAGAATTAACACGAATTATTTACTGCAATCAAGCTCAAGGATTATTGTAATACTTCAAGATTACAATAGCAACTTTGATTCCAGGTTTTTATTGAAATTAATATTTATTCAGTTTTTATATTATGCCAATTGTTGTTATGAATTATATTTTGAATTGTATTGCTTCCAAGATAATTATGTCCGGCTAAATTATTAATACCGGTATGTGACCCGTAAGAACTAAAGGAATTCAGTGATACCTTTGAAACAACAGGCTGAAAATCATCAAAACAATGAAGTCGCCATCGAACGTCTTTTATCCCACATGTAGGGAAAGGTAAACATCGAGTAAACCTGAGAAGGGTGAAATCGAGGTCGAACGACCAAGAGATAAGGGTAAGGGAGTCTATTACGCGAGGGGAAGGTATTAGCACCCCACACGCCCGTAGTACTCTACGGTATCCACTCTTGTTGTCTATCTTATGGGTGTGTCTAATCTACGCTTACTGTTTATTATACTACTAAAGGGAATGCATGCAAAAGAAAAGAGAAAAAGAATGTAGGGAAAATAAAATTGTTGTGCTCGTTCGGGCCCTACCCCGATGCCTACGTATCCCTTTTAAGGAATCAGAGCAGCCGTAGTTCGGCTTATATGTTTTTGTTTGTTTGTATTTTTTACTGAACAATATTAATTTCGCCTTCTGCCGCAACTCGACCTTTGGAGACTTATGCGTCAGCACAGAAGTGAATTAACATGCTCTCTTGAAAAGTTTGGAAAGAAATGCGCCTGGACGCACAAAAGTTTGAATTTTGTTTGTTTTTGTAATGAATGATATTAATTTCTCCTTCTGCCGCAACTCGACCTTTGGAGACTTACGCGTCAGCACAGAAGTGCGTTAACATGTTCTTTTGAAAAAGGTTTGAAAGGAAGGCCCAGAGGCAAAAAGAGTTTGCATTTGTCGGTGTTTTTGCTTGTAGATAATGGCTAGTTAATCTCAAGAGAGAGATTTTAGCCATGTCTCTACTTATTCATGAAATGAGTCTTTGAGACTTGAATCATACCAAAGCTTAGAACAAGAGAATAATAAGGTCGAGAAGAAACCCGCTTATCATCTCTCAAACTTAGCCAAGACATGGTTCTTGTCAGTAAATTTTTATGTATTTTTGAAGTTTGTAAAAAAGGAGAAGTTTTTGTTTTAAATGCATATGTAAAAAAGGGAAGGATAAGTCACAGGGGAACCAGTCTATTTCTAACCTAATTTTATTATACTTCATACGACTTTTATGTAGAGATAAATGCGAGGTGAAAATAGAAAGAAAATATACCAAATGAGTACTAGCCCGTGGAGCAAAGCAAAAAAAGTAAAGAGACCCGATGTTCTTGCGAGCTGCTAGCACCAACAAAGAAAAGAGTTAGAAATTCAGTACTCGAAGTAAGCGTCGAAGTGTCTTAGATGCGAAAACAAATCACAATCGAAATCTCAAGCATATCCACGTATCGCATATTGAACCTGCATAAGATTCAAGTCTCGACAAAACAAAGGTGAGTCATGGATTTCAACTAATCGGATAACCAACGGATTAACTCCTGAGAAATCAAATAAGTATTAAAAAACTAACAAATTGTTACGGATTTATTTTATGTATATATATATATATATATTTATTGTTTTTTTTTATAAGGAAGATTAAGATAAGTTCTTAACTATAATAAAAATTATATTAAAAAAAAGAAGTTTTGTCATTATTATTTAAAAAACAAAACAAAGAATTAACAAAATAATAAAGAAAGAAAAAAAAGAGAAAACGGGGTCGTTTTGGAATTGACAGTAGACTCCTTCTTCTCTTCTTTCAAACGGCGCCGTGTGAACGAATCACCGCCTTTGTTTCACTCCGATCAGTGACTGTCGTAACTTCACCATTAATCTCCTTCTCCGATAAAACCTCGCGTGGTCTCCGTCTCCTCAATATCATCACCTTCGTTCTTTCTTCGATCTCCCTTCTCCTCTAAACTTCCATGTCCTTCCCCGATTTTCAACGAGCAACAACTCTACCGAAGAGGTCCGGTGTTCTTTGAGGATGATGAAGATGAACAGAAATCCGGTATTACTTGGTGTATTCAGGTTTGAATCTCTCAACTCATATGCGTGACCTTTTCCTCTCAATCTTCTTCTTCTATGAATCGACTGTTCTGCACCGTGATCTGTTTATTGGTGCGTGTTATGGCGTGATGCACTGTTGTTCTTGAGCCGAGCGCGATTTGTTTTGAAATCGTTGATGATGATGCTGATGATGTACAAAGTTTTTCTAGATTCTCGTTGAAGTCTTTGAAGAAGATGATGAGAGTTCAGAACTAAAGGAGTTTTGTGATTTTTTTTAAGAGTCAAGAACAGTGGAATTTATAGAGAGAGAGATAGAGAAAAAGAGAAAAGTGAGTGAATGAAAGGGAGATGAAGATGATGAGAGTTCAGAAAAATGGAGAGTGAATGATGGAGAAGGAAAAAATGTTTTAAAACCGATAAAATGGTGGAGAGAGAGAGAGTGAAGTATCGGAACTGAAAAAGAGAGAGTCACCTCCTCCTCGAAACTTGGAGGGAGTTTGGATTATATAGGTAGTTGAGGGAGATGGAAATGGCTATGTGAGAATCAATCCGAACCATTGATTTGAGTAGAGTTTGTTAGGGATTGAAGGGTGAGATTGAGAGTTTGTTACAAGATGGTTATGTTAATTGGGCATTCTGTTTAGAAAATTCTATTATGTATTGTTAAAACAGTTGGGATTTTCTGTTGAAGTTTGTTATGGAGGTTGTTAGTAAGTTGTTGGAATTTGGTTATGGGAATTAGTAATTCAGTTTGCAGGTTAATTTTGGAATAGGCTATTTAGAATTCTGTTTAGAAAATTCTGTTATGTATGTTGGTAGAAGTGATGATGTGGATCGTCTTGCACAGGAACAATTGCGTCAGCTGAATTGTCTGAAGTGCTTCTATCAAATGAAGGCATGCCCATTGATGACATATCAGGCATGATGTGAAACATCGGATTCAATCCAGTAATTCTTTTGACAGTCTCTTCAGCCATCTTCACCTTTGCTCTCAAAGTTTCAACATCAGCTTTCAGTATTCTGTTGTCAACAGCAAAATCAGTGTACTTTTGGCTTACATCAATGAGGCGCTTTACCAAGGAAGAATTTTCACCTCTTAATTGTGAAACCTGTGTTTTGATCCCATATGTTTTCAGCTGATAATTTTCAAATCCCTCTGCAAATTCTCTTTTTTTTTTCTTCTGCTTGTTATTTTCCTTGGCCTTTCCAGGTCCTGAGTTTACTGCATCTTGAGAATTATCGGTCGCGTTATCTTTTGACTCCTTCAAAACACTTTGCCCATGTTGGTCATCATTGCCTACTGCAGTGCTAAAATAGTTGCTTATTCGCAAAAAGTTCCCAATTTGTATAATTCATTTGATAAAAAATTAAAAAGATTTAGGAAGAGAAACCATTTGGAAAGGGTCTTCTTTTCCTGAGCAACAAAGTTTTACAAGGAATAGGGGACTTTTGAGAGCACCAGTGATCTGGTACACTAAAAAAAATGTAGACATAAACTAACCGCTTCTTGTATTCTTTTGGAGAAATTACAGTTAGCATGTGATTCTTGGGCACTACAAGTGAAGACTTCATCTATGTCTCAAGATGCTTGTCCCAGGTATACTGCCTGAGATAATCAATGATTCCGCAAACAAGCTCGCGCTTCTGAGAATCAACTCCCACAAGTAAGGAGTAATCCATCACATTGATTGAATTGAGAAAAGATGTGTCATTCCAAATAGCACGCTGAAGAACTCGCTTTGCTTTGTGACTGACATATAACGGGGAAGAGTTCATGTCTTCCACAAATTCTGATCCAGAAGAACATCCTCAGCACCAGTAGCATCAGAAGTATATCGCTCAAAAAGAGCACCTTTAAGATCATACTGGCGTACAATATTTCGATTGTAGGTAAGATTTTCCATCACCATGAGGTCATGTTTAACCTCTTTTCCACTTTTAATTTGTCTTCTAGTAACCTGATATATCCCCAAGACTGTTGCTAGACATGTTTGGCTCCCAGACTCAAATGACTCTCTCATGTGTTTGAAATATAGAGAAGAGAATCCCAAAAATGCTTCAAGTTTCGTCTTCTTGATTTCCTTTACGATGAACCTCTCATCAAGTGTTTTGGCAAAAAAGGACTTGCTTTTTCCACTTTTGGCATCCCAATTCATACAACGGCTTAAAGAAGCAATATAATCAATCTCAGATGGGCAACAGCAATTTCTAAGTGCACGGAACTGCTTATAATAATGACAAACCACATAATATTTTTCCCTCCCAAGTGATTTTTGCATAACCCAGATGAACTTCTTTGCTATGGTCTTCTGTAGCACGAAATGATCGTGACTCTTCTGAAGACACGCTTCCAGTAGAATGCACAGAATCTGAATCTAGAGAGTCGTGCAAAGAATCTGTAGATTTTGAAGTTATCCCACTTTCTTTCACATCACCATCAATTTTCGACATCTCAGATGAGTCTTTCAACAAGGACAGTGCACAAGCAATTATGCTTGATGGTTCACCCTCAAAGTCAGACACGACATGATTGTCTGTCTTGAGAGGAATGTGCAACCTTAGACCTTCCTCAATGGTGAATTGATTTGTTGTGGGCGCGTGTTCGGAAATAGAGCTGCAAAGATATTAAAATTTTGGAAAGAAACTTTTCAGAAATTCCCTTATGCCTATCTTCCGAATATCAGAAAATGGCTTCCAGAACCCTTCATCTGAATCTTGCAATATGGAAACAGGTGAATGCAGTGAAGCACTCTGGTTTAACACCTTTGAATCAACGATTGGACGAACAGGTTTAATATTTATAGCAACTGGAAAGTTTTGATGTACTTGAAGATGGTCATTTGCCGAAGGAAACTGAGTGGAAACATTTGAACTTGATTCCAACTTTGGGTCAGAATACCTCTTTGATCCCAAACCATCAACAGTTTGTATTTTCACATTCTGTGGGATATCAAAAGTTTTAGATGGATCACCCTGTTCATTGCATTCTAGAGGAGATCCACTGATAGGGATTTCCTTTATTGAGATTTCATTTACTTTCACAGATGTTTCTGACATAAATTTTACATGGGTGTCCCCATTCACATTGCCAACTATACTAGGAAATAACATTTCAAGTATGAGCTCTCTTTTTCTGCATGTTGTTAAATCCACAAACACAGCATCTGGACAAGCGATTTGGGAAGAAGTGTTCCTAAGCTTGGAAATTACCAATGGGTTGCCAATTACATTAAACGCCTCGGCAAAGACTTTAAAACCCAGACGTTTCTTTCCCTTTTGAAGAAAATTGCAAAAATCAAACGGCAATTGAGTGGTTATGTTTTTCTGCCCCAACAAATTGCGAAGTAACTGCAAATACTTCTCATTGCCAGAGCTGAGATGAAGAAGACAAATCAAAACAAACAATCTCAGGAGAAGCGAAGGAAAATGATTCTTCACATTTAAGTTCGATTTTTTTATCCAGAGTTTGGTACTATTTTTGTCACAGATGAACTCACAGAGGATATTCGCAACGAAATCATGGACATCGCTCATGTCTTTCCATTGTACAGCCATAAAACTCAGATTTGTAAGAGAATTTTCATTTTGGCTAATAAGCCATTAAGTGAAAGATGACTTTGTAGCATAAATGGACCCCTTCAAGCATGATGTCAATAGCAGTAACCACTCAACAAGATACATAAAGCAACCATGAGCTACATAGTCGACTTCCGCTACCCAATTCACATTGCAAGTATCCTTCAATGCTTCCTGAAGCTTAACCATGCAATGTATCTCTAAAACTGCCTTATTGCCCGGTACATTTTCATGTTCTAAACACAAACGTAAGCTCTCAATGAAATCTTTCCATGGTTTGTTTGCTTCAAACTTTGTCATAATTTGCACAAACAGTTCATCTTTAACATTAGTCGTGCCAAGAATCATAACCACCACCCTTCCAATTAGACCGTAGGTCAATTTACCTTTTTGTCTACTGTTTTCATAGATGAGCTCTTTCCTGATATCCTGCCAAACATCAGTTATCCTTTGATAAATCATATTTCTTTTTCCAGTGAATTCTTCCAGTCAACGGGATTTATAAAGCGGAATAAACACTCAATTGGCAGCCTGTAAAATGTCTCCAACATTTTCAAGTTACCGTGGCCATGACTAAAACACTTGGACTTGAGAAGAAACTTTGAGATTTCATAGATATGCAATAGAGACTGTGCTTGACGGAACTCGAAAAAAGCTTTATTAACTGAAAAACTGTAGAGTGCATTGAGGTTGCGCAAAACATCTCTGTCAACAGATAATAATTCTGAACTCCAATAGCTCTGAGCATAAGAGACTAAAGGTTGAACATCAACAGAGACTAGCCTCCCATTCTTGTTTAGAAATTTATCTCTCAATTTCATCACCCAATTAGCATCAGGGATGAGCAAAGGGTACATGCTTGTTGATTATAAATCTGCTTCTGAACACCCAAATAATTCAATGCAAACTTCACGTAACTGCTTTGCTACTTGAGGCTCTAGAGTTTTGAAATTTGAAAGGAAATCCAGCATCTGGACAATGTTATCCTTCCAACATATCCAACAATAAAACAACGTCTCCACGGAAAATTGATTCTTTGTAATCATACTTTCGACAGAAACACCAAACATACTGTCGTGCTCGACATACTTGGAGGAATTCAGCCGAAAATGAGAATCAAGCAGTTTCCACAAACATAATATTTCCCCTCTGATACTCTTATGGATGCGAGAAGATTTCAACTGATTCATTATTTCATAACTGTTGTCATGTTTATTTATTACCGAAGACAAAACAGTTGATCTAATGTATTCCTCAAAAAACCCCTTGTATTTGTCATACAGATCCTGAGAATAGTCAAGCGGCGGCTTCTGAGTGCACATGTTATAAATCGTGGTGTACAACATCATGTATTCCTTCGAACTGAACTGAGTTTTCGATGATCCTTCAAGAATTGTCTTCAAGTTCTTAATCCCATTCTGCATATAGGCCCAACCTTGATCTAAATCAATGGTTTTCCTGTCCGTCATGGCTGCAGAAACTGGTGCGATGGTGAAAAGTGGTTTATGCTTGGTGTAAATAGTTTGTATGAAGTCATGACTTGTTTCAAAATAGAGTGCGGTAATTTTGAACAAATATTCAATGAAAGTAATGAAACTTGCTTTTCATTCGAACCTTTGATTTCACATATGCTTTCTCATGTCTTAAAATATCTTTAGATGTCAAGTATATCCAATAATTTTCAAATATCCTCTAAATCACGAAATATGGAATAATTTGGTCCACAAGAGTTAACTTAGTTTTCGTCCATGAAGTCTCGCTAGAATCTTCCAATTTTGCTTGAATCAAATTATTGAACAAAACTGAAGCTCATTCTCACACAAATATAATGTTTTTGAGGACGAAGATGGAAATATGGAAGAATTATAACCAAGATATCCTTAAAACTACTAATCCATATTGACTTGTATTGTGAGCAAAAACTAACGATGATGAGAACAAAAATGGCCTTGATCAACATGAATCTATGGTACCATTCCTTATGCCATGACCTCATACTTTTCAATTCAACCCCACAAGTCCTTTGTTTTGTCAAAAAATGTCTTTGTGGGATCCTTGAAGAAGATAAAATTTGAAGCTTAGAAGGATATCCTCTAATCATTCCTCATTGATGAACATCAACAAACTCACACACAAAAATGCAAAACCTTAACCCGCTTGTATTAGGTGCACAGTGACGACTTGAGACATGGATAGAATAATGTTCAAAATGTCTTCGAAATGAAACAAAGCATGATCTTCCAATAGACATAAAGAAATAAACTCAAATCTTCAGACTTTAACAAATAAAACCTTGCAACTTGATTTTGAGATGAAGAGAATAACCTCGTAGCTTGATAAAGAAGAAATCCACAACAACCATCAATCAAAACCCTAAACTCACAATTTAATGTTCTAGAAGAATCAGTCTTGTTTGATAAACACCTCGAACCAAAAGAAAACCCGAGCTTCACAACCAATGGTTCTTGAATCATGATTCAACAAAACCTGAATTGGTTAATTGAAGAGTGGATGAATGCCATGTCGAAGTCATTAAGCCTGATTAAATGATAGGCACACTTATATGAGGAGACATCTTGATTCAAAGACCATGTATGCTAAGTCACGCCCCTGAGTTCTTGACAAGACAAACCAGTAACCTATTGTTTATCAGCAAATAATAGCCTTGTTGCTTGAGGGAGAAGAAGTCCAAAAAATGAGAATGAATCAAAACCCTAATTCCACAGCTCGCTGTCTGAAATAAGAAATTATTCTTTATTGAATATGGGCGCCTTAACCGCTGTGAAACCCTAGTATCGCACAACCACTGGACTTTGAACCTCAGAGCTATATTGAATGAAATGTGTGCCATGTTAGTGACCTAATGAAATAGATGCAGATGAATGCAAAAGCCTAAGCCAAAATAGAAGAAATTAGGAGGGCAAATTTTGGGGTGCAACAGCTGCCCCTATTTAATCTCCTTAGACCTGAAGGTGAGATTGGCGCAAGCCTTTCGAACCTTCAAGGTAAAAGAAGATTAAATACTAAAAGAACCCAAAAATTTGCGCTCCGGAGTCAGTCAGGTATTATTATTTTTGGTCTTTCTGGGTTAAAGGGGTTATCGGTGTTAGAAGTATGTTTAACCAGGGTTTGACACATAGCAGAATAACTTGGTTATCAAGGAACATCTGTTGGGATTTAGTAACAAACACCTGTAAAAAAGATATACGCCTGAAGTCTGTAGTAGACATACGAAAAAAAGTATCAGAGACACATATCCGGGGTTGGTAGCGGATATACAAGAAAGAGACATCAAAAATACATATCCGTGGTCGGTATCGGACCACGTAAGAAAGAGATAGAAAAGATACATATCCGTGGTCGGTATCGGATACGCACAAAAGATATAGAAAAGATACATATCTGTGGTCGGTATTGGATACGCACAAAAGAGATATCAAAGATACATATCCGTGGTCGGTATCGGATACGCACAAAAGAGATATCAAAGATACATATCCGTGGTCGGTATCGGATACGCACAAAAGAGATATCAAAGATACATATCCGTGGTCGGTATCGGATACGCACAAAAGAGATATCAAAGATACATATTCGTGGTCGGTATCGGATACGCACAAAAGAGATATCAAAGAAACATATCCGTGGTCAGTATCGGATACGCACAAAAGAGATATCAAAGATACATATCCGTGGTCGATATCGGATACGCACAAAAGAGATATCAAAGATACATATCCGTGGTCGGTATCGGATACGCACAAAAGAGATATCAAAGATACATATCCGTGGTCGGTATCAGATACGCACAAAAGAGATACCAAAGATACATATCCGTGGTCGGTATCGGATACGTATGAAAGAGACAGACCAAAGAAAGCTCTTACAAAGAAAACACCAATCGAAGGTGAACTTACTGAGGGAAGAGACCAAACAAATGGGACTCTTGACAAATGATACCAGTCGATGATGGATTTTAACAAATGATACCAGCCGAAGCGGGCTTCGAAAGATACCTGCCGGAGCGGGATTTTTAAAGATACCAGCCGAAGCGGGATTTTGAAAAAGGGTACCAGCCGAAGCGGGATTTTGACAAATGATACCAGCCGAAGCGGGGTTTTAAAGGATGCCAGCCGAAGGTGGACTTTAGGATAAAGAAACCAGCCGAAGGGGAATCTTCATCCAGGAATACTATGCCGAAGGTAGATTCCTAAGAAAAGAACGTCGGTCGAAGGCGAACTTACAACTGCAAAGAGACCAGACGAAGGGGACTCTCAACAAATGATACCAGCCGAAGGTGGATTTTAAAGGATGCCAACCGAAGGTGGACTTTAGGATAAAGAAACCAGCCGAAGGGGAATCTTCATCCAGGAATACTATGCCGAAGGTAGATTCCTAAGAAAAGAACGTCGGTCGAAGGCGAACTTACAACTGCAAAGAGACCAGCCGAAGGGGACTCTCAACAAATGATAAAGGTATGCATATCTGGTCAGAGTTAGATACACAAGAGCGAAGTTGATCATCAAGAAACAAATGTTTAGAATTGCTAGCGAACACAGGAACGAGGCTAACCGAAGAAAGCCCCAATAAAAAAAGGATGCATTCGCCTAAACAAGGGCGCCAGACAACTGGACTTTGAAGAGACATTGAAAGACTCTTAATCATAAAAAGTTAGCTAGGCTAACGAAAGGAGGACCCGACTGACGCGGATAAACCAAAATAAGGAACCGACTAAGCAGGACCTTCAAAGAGCATTAATAGAAGGTTAACTTTACAAGAGAGAGAGATTGGTCAAAGCAGACTCTGACAAAGATTGCCAAAACACACTGGGCTTTCGATAAGTTGCAAATACACAAGGACTATAAAAAATCCCTCAGGCCAAAGGCGAGGTGTTGATTCTTCAAGAGTGGCAATTATCGGAATTACCACACACCAAGTATGGATACTCAAACACTTGAGAAGCAAGAAAGGTTATAAGCCAACTCTTACTCAAGACAAAGCAAACGCGGGTAAAATAACTAAAGGCTTACAAAGGAAAGCGCAAACCACAAAGTTACTGGGGAAATGGAGAAATACCAAAGACCCGACTGGTGGTGAATCAAAACAAACTTTACTGGGGAAACATAATAGAATTACCCTAAGCTTCTTGTGGAGGTAAATCAAATCTGAGCGCATAACAATCTGGTTGCCACAGGTGGACACAATTGGCTTATACTTAAAAAAAAAATTTATAGCGTAATGCTCCATGCGATGGAAATGCTACGAGTTTTGGGAGATGCAATGTAATGATGCAAGTTTAGTAATGCATTATGAAGACATATCAATAATCGGCTGCTGAGAAGTCAGTGAACTTTAGGACAATTGTTCTTGCACATCTGATCTTTTGTAGAGAAAAAGCAATTTGTACTTCAATGGGGAACCGAGATTTGAAATCATCAATGTTTAAACGATTGATCTCACTGGGGAAGTAACTTCTTGGGGAGAATACTACAAAAATGAAATTGTAGTTCAGAGAAAAACTTGAATTCTGATCAAACTCCCTACCTCACGGGGAATGAATTTCTTATCCTCTGTTGGAAAGAGGAAAGCTTTACTAGGAACGGAAATTTCTGGCATAGAAATTCTTGACGAAGATAACTTCCGTTGGGGAGTATATAAATTCTTAAATAAAAAGAAATCTACTCAGACCGCACTGGGGATAACATTGCTGGGAGGTAAGAGATCCTCACTTGGGGAAGAAGTGAACATTCAGGGCTAAAAACTCTATCGGGGATATCCCAACCAAATCTTCTACCACTGGTAACGAAAGAGTTATGGCTGGAATTCTCCTGTACACCTCACCAGAGAGATAAGACACTTGCTCCATTAGGGAAAGAAGAATAATTCCACTGGGAAATTGGGTCTCATTATGCGAACATCTTCATGTTAGTCATATACAGACCCTTCTTGATTCATTTGCTGGTATGTATCTTGTCATGTAAGACCAACAGTACTTGCAAAACAGAAATTGGGGTGACGTGCCCCTGTTTGGAATGGAAAACCTTACCGAAGAAATAGACAATTTGAATTATCAATTACCGCGTAAAAACCGTGATGCAAGATTGCAACTTCAATACGTCGACTCCGAGGAGAAATGCCACTAAAAAATGGACTTTAGAGGAGATGCTGCAAAAATAAATTGCAGTCCAATGAAAAGGGGTCAACCAGACTTTAAACAACTTATATATTTCCAGGGAGAAAAGACATTCTCCTACTGCAGGGAAACAAGGATGCTTCACTGGGGAGAAAAAATCTCAAAAGAGGAACCCCTTGGTAGATAGGTCTATGTCAAGTAGCAACAAGTCTTTTACTAGGAGGAGGCATCCCCCTAGGAAGAAATATTTCCATCGCATCTTGTACGTGTAAACAAACTTCAAATGATCTTTGTGTTACAGCTCATATCTTACTGAGGATAACAATCCAAACTTCA